ACATTTACTTTGCATATGGCCAACCAGAATTCAATCCTGGCACCCCACATGATCCCCTGAGCACTTGCCAGGACAGATTTCTGAGGTCAGAGCCAGGAGTAAGCCCCAAGCAAGGCAAGTATGGCCTCCCCCCAAAAAATATATGTAAAAGAATAAAATCATAATGTGATATATATGTGTACATACATACATACACACACATATATATAGCTTATGAAAGGGTCTAAGTGTTCATATTCATTAGATTTCTATTTAAGTGCAATATTGGTCTCAAGTACCTTTCTTTAAAGTATATCTAAGCATCGAGTGTTGAATAAGAAGTGATTTTACAGAGGGAAAAGCACAGCATACGGTGACCTCACTCATCTGTAGTGTATTGGGAAATAAAACAAATGGTATAAATAGTATGAATTGATAACAAACTCTGGCTATGGAGTACAAACTGAAACACAAGATTTGGAGGTAAGAAGTACATGAACATGAGGGGCATGGGAGCATGAATCGGGGGTTATAGGCTCGTTCAAGTGACAAACTCATGTAACAGTATAAGCCAAGACCATAAATTTCAACCCCATTGCAAACACATTAGCTATAATAAAACTATTTTAAGATAACTGTCACTGTAGCAGTGTCCTCCCGTTGTTCATCGATTTGCTCCAGCAGGCACCAGTAGCATCTCCATTGTGAGACTAGTTTTTACTGTTTTTGGCGTATTGATATGCCACGGGTAGCTTGCCAGGCTTTGTCACTCAGGCGGGATACTTTCAGTAGCTTGCCAGTTTCTCTAAGAGGGATGGAGGAATTGAACCCAAGTCAGTCGCGTGAAAGGCAAATGCCCTACCAGCTGTGCTATTGCTTCATCCCTATAACTATGATAAAAATTTAAAATATAAGTAGGAAAAGGAATTTTAGAAGGACACAAAGATATGGTTACTCGCCAATTTTAGTTTTTCTATCAATAGTGCTTAAAATGGAATTATAATTTATTTGTAAGTAAATGATCAAAATTCTGAGTTTACATATTCATTAGACATCATGGACATTCTAATTATTAAAATGTCTTGGAACAAATTAGCATACATAATAAGTAAACTTCATATTATGAAAAATAAAAATGCCCTAAAAATTTTAAATTTTGATTATAATTAATTTTAATTAAATTTAAATTTTACTTTAACTTAAATTTAAACTTTAAATTTAATTTTAATCTTATATGTGACTTAAACAGTCTTTGGGAAACTGTCTTGCTATGATTTCTAGCAGAACCTCTGAAAATTTCATTCATTTATTCATTTGGCATAGGGGCAGCACATAGTAGTGCTTATGGATGACTCCAAATTTAGTGCTCCAAGTTATTCCCACTGGTGCACACAGGACTATGAGCTACCAGTGTTCAGAGTTGCAATTCTTTAATACTCATTATGCTTTCTAGGCCATTGAGCTATTTCTGTGGTTCAATCCGAGCATTTTAATTTCATCGATTTGCTCGAGTGGGCCCAGTAACGTCTCCATCATGAGACTTGTTGTTACTGTGTTTGGCATATCGAATACGTCACGGGTAGCTTGCCAGGCTCTGCCGTGCAGGCGAGATACTCTCGGTAGCTTGCCGGGCTCTCTGAGAGGGGCGGAGGAATCGAACTCGGGTAGGCCATGTTCGCCACTTGTAAGGCAGACGCCCTACCGCTGTGCTATCGCTTTGGCTGGAGTGATAGCACAGTGGGTAGGGCATTTGCCTTGCATGCAGCCTACCAGGCAGACCCGAATTTCTATAAGATATTAATATTTTTTGAAAATCTCCAGTCTTCTTAAAAGTGCAGATTCTGATTCAGAGGGCTGGCCTAGGATCTGGGGTTCTCTGTACTGTAGTCTCATGAAGGTGAGAGGGTATGGGTTCTCAGGTCAATGAGCTCAAATTAGGAGAGACATTTTTCTCTAGAAGGTGCTTATTGATACATTGACAACTGGTGTCAATCATCGCTGGGATATCATGGAGAAGTCCACAGTGACAGACACCCCATCACATATCCCATCGGCTGAAAAAACAAGTGGGAGAGGATGTTTCTGCTGGCACTGATGCTGCTGCTGTCTAAAGAATGGTTAGGAAGCATCCTGACAATCCACGAGTAGGATTTATCCCATGGTCATTTCCTCATGCAACAAGGTTTTACAATCAGGTATTTTACAACAGTCCCTCTCTTATTTTCTAATAAAACAGCAGAGAGGGAACAATACCTGAACACTCATTTACAGTGTGGAACTGAATAAGGAGGGATGGGAGGAGCAATTATAGATTTATAATTTGGCATAATACCCTTAGAAATTGTACTTCCTCCCCGGAAGGAGTTCTGTTTGTTTGAAACGAATTCCCAAACATCTCTGGTAGTGGTGACTGATAACACTCAGAATGCTAATCTCAATTTAACTCTGGTTGGCAGGAAAATGGCAGGACAGCAGGCTAAGATTTGTCTGTGTACAGGAAGCTCCATGTCTGTCATTCTGAAGGGGATAATTAATTCAAATATATCTCTGTGCTACTCGGAAAAACTTGGGAAGAATTTTTCTTTATTCAGTATGAACACTTGAATGACTGACTTGGTTCTTGTCTTCTTCTTGACTTTAGGTACATGCTTTTGAGTTAATCATGGTGAAAAGAGAAGTGGAATATAATCTTCCTACCAGTTTTGAGATTGAGTGGCACCAAAGTCCAGAATTCACAGCTCTGTGTGCGCTCAGATTCCTCCCTTATCTCCAGAAAGGAGATGGTAATGATTTTTATTTCTGAATATAAATGGGATGACATTCAACACCTGAAAAGAAAAGAGAATCTTATTCTTTCTCACTTCTCTCCCCAGTCATAAAACCTGGTCCATAGGATATCAGAGCTCAGCATTAGTCTCTACTTTAAGCAACATCAATTAGATCTTCTTATCTTCATAGTATAACTCATTACTGTGACCAGTATTAAATGCGGCATATTTTGGTTTATTTTTTCAAGCAGACTGATTATGTATAATCAGTGGTATAGTAAATCAACCAATATTGTGTTTCTTCCTTATCATTTTCTACCTGAGTACCTGTTCTCTTTCAAGTTTCTTTTCTCTTTTGTCATGTTTGTTTTTTGTACCACACCTGGAGGTATTTAGGGTGTAATCCTGGCCCTTAGCTCAGGTACTCCTGGCCCTTACCTCAGGTTTCACTCCTGATAGAAAACTCTTGGAACCACATGGGATACCAGTAATTGAACCCAAGTCACCTGTGTGCATGCAAAGTGCCTTACCCACTGTACTATCTCTTAAGCCCTATCAAAATGTTTTAAGTGAAAAGGAACAGAGTTGGGAATGATAGGTGATTTTTAAGTCTCTATAAACGTTTACTACTTTATGCTATGATTTTTCTTTGGAGTATTGCCATCCATTATCATAACTATAACATTGATGGTTAATATGTAGTACTTATGATATATCAGACACTAAAAGAACTTTCCATTCATTGACTCACTTAGAGTCCATTAAGTACAACCTTTCTTTTTTTTTTTATTTTGTAAGGTTGGACCACTGTCCTCTCGTTGTTCATCAATTTACTCAATTTACTTGAGTGGGAACCAGTAACATCTCCGTCATGAGACTTGTTGTTACTGTTTTTGGCATATCAAATATGCCACAGAGAGCTTGCCAGGCTATGCCATGCAGGCGGGATACTCTTGGTAGCTTGCTGGGTTCTCTGAGAGGGACTGAGGAATCAAACCCAGGTTGACCGTGTGCAAGGCAAACGCCCTACCCATTGTGCTATCACTCCAGCCCATTTTCTAAGGTCAGACTTCTTCATCAAGACCCTGAACAAACAGTTTGAGGCTTTTTGTGTTCCTGTAGCGAGCAGATGCCATTGAACTACACTAGCACGCTACTGGGACAAATGGAGACCTTACTGGCACCCACTCGAGCAAATCCATGACTAACAGGATATCAAGTGATCAAGTGATCAAATTCTTAACCATTTGAAAAATCAAACAATCAATTCTTTTGTCACTCGATTAACTAACATTCACTAAAATTTGTCTTAGGATATAGGACTACCATTAGATGCCAGTTATGTTTGATTTTCTTTCTCAGCTTTAACGTTCTTTCTATTAACTTTCATCAAGGAAATATATTGAATAAATGTCTTTTACAAAAGTATGTCATTGAATTCTGGTGTTATGTGTATGTGTGTGTGTATGCATGTTATATCTAGGAACAATTTGAATTTCAGGGTGGAAATTTGGCATTCCAGTTTCATAAGAATTATTTTTATGACTTAGTTATAAACCCACAAAAAACAAGCCCTTATAATGTAAATGCTGACATAACCTTTACTTGTACTCAACTATAAATCAAAGTGCTATAAAACTCCATATTTGAAAAGTCAGGCTAGGTAAAATACCGAGTGAGTTAATGTTTGCCGGGAATAAAAAAAATTCAACTGGTTAAACATTTTCTTTTTTAGTTTTGGATGAAACATAGACCTTTAGGCTATCTTCAGTAACACAATAAAACATAAAATGACTATCATAATGCATCAATAGAATTGATAGAAAAACACTTTATGTAAAGAAAAGAAACTTCAATTAAGGGTGTACTATTTTCCAGTCCAAAATCAAATCTATGAATGTCGATGGAAGTTACTTCCTCAAGAAATTTATTTTAAGACTTGTAGGAGACTGAAAAGGTACTCAGTTCTCATTGAGTATTCTGGAAGGAGAAAGAGCACGTGGACTCAAATGGGATATTATGCCAGCAGAATTCTCATTGAAAACTTGATGTCATATGTCATCTGACCCTGCTTTTTCCATCAGGTCATTTCAGGTTAAGGTACTACTGAAAAAGCATAACCAACTTAGTGGGTGAACTGCTGACAAGCTTCAGGGGTTTGGCTGACATTCCAAAGTTTATTTGAGTTAATCTACATTCTCGCTGGCCTGCAGAGCTCAGGGAGAACTGGCTTTTCGGGGAACATTTCCATTACTTCCTGATTGTGCTGGTGTCAGAAAGAGCTCATGGCAAGTACTCAAGGGGACGGAATGGCATCGGAATATTTTTCCCAGGTAAGGAAGACCTTTCTGTAAAAAGGCACAAAGAGTATCTGTTTGTTGTTTATTTGCCAGACATGGCAACTGTTAGGAAGAGGTAGTTACCAAAGCCAGTCTCCCTGGAATGCAGATTACTTGCTTCTGGGGATTATTTGGAGTTTATACTTTCTACAGATGGTTCTGAAGAATGCTATTGATGGCTTAAATAGGTAAAGGGTATCAAGAAAAAAAAATCAGTCTAGAAAAGCAATGTGAACCTGTAGATATGTGCGTTATATTTTTAACTGCAACAGATGATTGACTGAGAAAGTGTTAGACTATTTGAAAACACTAAATTTTACTAAATCTTAGCTATTGGGGTCCAATAACATAATGTGATATATGATGACTCTCAGAGTTTCACATATTCTAGTTTTCCATATGCAATTAAAAAGCCTGGCTTCTTTCTTGACAACTTGCAGTAATAAATTTTTGCTTATGCTTGAATAATAGTCATAACAAAACCAGGATCTTTTTAGACCTCTCAGGTGAGTGAAATATGACTATATACAAAAACAAACGTAGTTAACAGTCTAGTGGGAAAGAAAGAACGGCCTTGCTTAATGACTGGTTAAATAGAAACATGTCCGTTGTTGGACTTTGTTAAAAAGTAGATTCGAGTTGAATTCCGAAAGCCTCGATGAGGCCTCTAGCTTCCTTGAAAGGGAGTGTCTGAGCCCAAAGATCCTTCCCCTGCAATATGAAAAAGGCCCATTTGCCACACCCACCTATATCGGAGGAAGTGTGCAGAGGCAGTAAGGTGAGTCTGCTTTGCACCAATAGTTCATTTCCGGCTGACCTAGACTACATATCACTACCAGGCTTAACTTCCGGCCTGTCATGAGAAGCCCTGGCCCTACGATAGGTGAGGCACAGTTTGAACGCAAAGTAGTAATGACTTGTTTTGACAGGATATTAAAAGTGAAAGAAGGTAGCAGGACATGTCCATATCTTCTCAAGATACAACACTCTACCACTGTCTATTCAAATATGCTTCCTGGGTGCCAGTTTTTATCCAGTTAGATGCAAAGTATTGTGCCCATAGTGGGCAGCCTTTCCTCTGCTGTGAGTAGGGATGAGAATGAGTCTGTGAGAGAGAGGAGTCGGTGAGAAATGTTCTGTGTCTCCAATCCCACACTTCCTTCTGATGCTGGACTGCTTTATATATTTCTTCCACCAAGCAGAACTGGCTTGAAGACCCTCTCAAGCTGGACAACATTCCCAGCAGTGCATTGAGATTCGGGTAGGAAATCCTTGTACAAAACCCAGCCTGTTGCATCACTTGCATTATGCACCTTGATAGAGTGCTCAGGAGCAGCCAAGAAAAGTCTAAACATATAACATATCGCCAAATATGTTGGGCAGTATTTCTCTCCACACATGCTTTCACCCCATCACCACATCTACTTATGAAACGTAAAAGCACAAAAGAGGAGAGAGGAGGAGGGGATAGGAGAGAGAGGAAGAGAAGAGGACAAGAACGAAGAGAGAGAGAGAGAGAGAGAGAGAGAGAGAAAGAGAGAGAGAGAGAGAGAGAGAGAGAGAGAGAGAATATATGAATTTGGCAGGACTGTTTGCAATGCAAGTTTACTTGGAATTAATTTTCTTTCAAGAGCACCTGCCCCTAGGATCCCATGTGGAGGGGGCTTCAGACAGTAGGTTTTTGGGCACTGAGTAGCAGGATGCCCAGGAGTCTGGCGGGAAATGCGGGGGATCTCTTCCCCATGTGCCCGAAGCAGCACCCAAGCCCCTGCCCAGCTCTGCGCTTCTCCTTTTGCCTCTACGCTCAAAAGTGAAATTCTGCACAGTCGGGAGGACTGGTGCAGAGTTAAGCTATGTGGAGCCAAGAAAATAAAGAGTCAGATGTCCCAGCAGCTTTCTGTGCGTCCTGATTGTCACCACCCCCAGAGCAACCATGAAAGTGGGAGGGACCAGATGAAGACATTTAAAAATTGGTTCTGCTCCACGGTGATCTGGAGCAAACTGGGGCTCTGCTGCCGGCGGGCTCAGCTCTGGAGTCAGGACAGGAGCGTGGCAGCCCCTTGCCCCTGGGAACCCGCTTGGACTCCCCCCTCACCTGGGGGCAAGATGAATGAACCTCTTTGTTCTTTCATCTTGCAATACGCACACATATTTCTCTTAACATACTATGGGATGCAACCCAAATCCATGGAAATCCAGCAGCAGTATATACTCCAGTGAGCCATGGCCAACTCCTGGTCTTTGTTGAGGAAGGATCTGAGGGAAGTGAGTGGGTGCGGTGACGGATCATTGCCGTTCATTGGATATGCTGAGCCTCTCTGGGAGTTAAGAATTCCGCGGAGCTCATATGTTATCAGGGGAGAAAGGAAGTGTAGACTTATGTGCAATGTTAACAAACTCACCAAAATGAAACCCTTGGCAATGTAAAGGCTCAAACTTTAAAGCAGTGTATACCAATTGCTGAAGAGGAAATTATAAAAACTTGGGACTTGACTTTGATATGGATCTGCGATGGCATATAAATTGCAGCATGGCCATTTATATAAGCACCCTTTGCGGTTGGGGGATGTTACCAATTGAAGACTTTGTAACACTATTCAAGAAATATTCATAGAAATGGAACAAGTGGGACTTGGAAAGCAGAGAAAAATAAACCTATCCTTTATCAATTTGCATTTGATTTGGCAAAGATTGAGCATCTGCAATTGCCTTGTAGAAATCAAAAATCTTGCAAGTCCTTTAGTAACCTTGGGGATTCTCTAGTAGTGTTAGGGTCTGTCACGAGGAGAGTATTGAGTGGGTAAGGTTGAGACTTGGGTAGATTAAACTTTCTTTAGTTGTTTCTCATTACATCATAAAAAAGTCTGTGTGCTCTGCCAAATTCATTAGGAAAAAAGATCTAAAAGAGGAAGCTCAAAATAATGATTGAGAAAAAGCCAAGCAACTTTAGACCTTTGTTGACATTTGTTCTCTTGAATTGTGTCCTAATGACAATAGAATATGCAACTCTAAAATAAGGTAATTCCCTTTTTTGAATTTTTTTATTTAATCAAAAACCATGAGTTACAAAGTTATTGATTGTGAGTTTTAGGTATATACTATTTCAAAATAAATCCCACTGAGAGTGTCAACTTCCTTCCACCAACGTTCCCATGCTCCATCCCTACCCAACTCTCTTTCCACCCTCGACCCTAACCCCTGTACCGCACTACCATCTTAACAAGCACTTTACAAAACTCCATAGTTACAGCTTAGATCTCAGTGTTGTTGAGTCTGTTCTGGAATTAGAGCTATACCACTCTTCCACATCACAAAATAAAATAATTAAAAAAAAAAAACAAGAACAGCAACTGGGCCTGGAGAGAGAAAGGGGTGGTGGGGGGGGGAGAGAGAGAGAGAGAGAGAGAGAGAGAAAGAAAGGAAGGAAAGAAGGAAGGGAGGGAGGGAGGGAAGGAGGGAGGGAGGGAGGGAGGAAGGAAGGAAGGAAGGAAGGAAGGAAGGAAGGAAGGAAGGAAGGAAGGAAGAAAGGAAGGAAGGAAGAGACAGAGAGAGTACTGGCAGGCAGGCAGAAGACAATTTCAGTCTTGGGGATCGCATATGGTTTTCTGAGTCCCATCAGGAGCGATCTCTGAGTTCAGAGCCAGGAGTAAGCCCAGAGCACCGCTGGGTGTTGCCCCCAAACAAACAAAAACCATCAACAGCAGCATCAATAAAACTCTCACAACATACCTCCAAAAGTAAATAAGTTAATTTCTTTAGTACTGTCATACTGTGGAATGCTACCACTGAACACAATAATTACAAACTTGTTTAACCCTAGTTTTATTTTGTCTCTCTGCAAGTTTCTGCAATTTCCCAACATGAGTGTCTTAGCCTGCCTGGGTTTTACCGTCTGGCACATAGATCTTGTCTAGTATCCTCATTTTATGGAGAAACTTGATCTGAAAAGATCAAGTGATTTGTCCAAAGTCACAGAGAGCTGGCATTAAAATCAAGATCTGTTTTGCAGGATAGCATTTTACCACAATATCCTTCTGCCTTTTTTCCTTCGTGGGTGGACTTAATTTTTGGATGGGAGAAAAAGCGTAAGTTATTCAAAGCCAAATCTAGTGAAAAAGATGGATGGATTGATGCCGAATTCTGCAGCAAACATTCCTTGGGCACTGACTATGTGTGAGGCACCTGGCAAGGGTGGCACAGGTTTGGGAAGGGTTAAAGAAGTGGGTCTTGATTTTAAGTTCCCTATTATAGATTTTAAAAGTAGTGAACAGTGATCAGAGTAGACTTAAATGTCATTTCCTTGAGCCTCCAAGTCTGCATTATATTCCTTCAGTCAATAGGTTTGGATTTATAAAACTACTAGCAGAGCAAGCTCCTACTTTAGTTATTTGTCTATTTGCTGTCCTTTTCAACTCACTATGAGGGGTTTGGTCACCCAAACTCTATGAGCTCATGAAAAACACTATTAATCTTTAAAATGGAAATGAGACCTAACATTTTAGGTAAGGGTGCAATTATTATTTTCTGTGAAACATGTTAGAATTTTTAGAATATTTGTGTACTGCCAAGTTGCTATGTGGATACCTTGGGGGAAAACTAAATCAACACAACCGTCTGTGGTGACAGACCTTTAGTCAATCCTGCTTTATTCTAGAGTTTTTCAAATATGGTCAACGTTTCAACCTGCTGCTTTTTAAAGTCCTCAAACAAAGATAATAATGACTTTGTTCATCTGGTCTGTCTTTTTCCATTAATTTATATGTTGTGGGGATCATTAGCCCCGAAGCCCAAGCTCCACTGTCTGCATCCTTTCCTATTGCTTCTGTAATAAAATCAACGTCTGTTTTTATAAGAAGAGCTCACTATTGACCTATTGTCTGTAGAGTTTTAAGTTAGTTTTCAGGGAGTAAAGTTCACTTCAGAGCTCAACACTTGTTGAATACACAAGAGTTGTCTTGTACATTTTGAAAACCACTATTGCTTCACTGATACGG